TCGTCATCCCCAGCTGAAACTCTATATCCATTAAATAATAACTCCCCATTTCCACTTCCCCCCGGCCCTTAGCAACCACCATTCCATTTTCTGTTTCCACGACTTTGACTACTCTAGGAACCTCATACGAGTATAATCATACAATATTTAGAGCTATCCAATGTTTAACATTGGCCAACCAACCCCAAGAGCATTCTTCTGGGTCTCCAGGCCACCCGCACTGCTGCTGATCTGCCTGGAGTAAACCTCACCGTAAGGAAATTCTCTCACCTCTGGAGCTAGATATCAGTTTTTTGAAATAAAAATCACCATTTCTTTTATTACATAAAAGTTTGAGGGACTAACCTAGCATTAGACAGAAACTTCAGCATGGAATAATTTGTAGGAGAAAATGAACAGTGATACTTCGGGTTGAGTTGAGGATCAGTTTGTGTTGAATATTTGGCATGTGAGTTCATGAGGTATTAAAAAATGAGAAAATTTATCCTAAAATCAATCTAGTAGAAGTGAACTCTGGATTGTTCGCCTATTTATTAGTGTGAAAAACTGGTTCAGTGCTCTCTAAAACTTTTTTCTTCCTTTTTTTTTTTTGAAATGAGGTCTTGCTATATCACTCAGGCTGGTCTCAAACTCCTGGGCTCAAGAAACCCCCGCCCTCAGCCTCCCCAGTTGCTGGGACTACAGGTGTGTGCCATTGTGTCCGGCTGATTCAGCGCTTTTAACTTGGGCTGCATTACCACAAAGGAGCTGGCTTTGGCAACTCCTTGGTTTTAAGGCAAAGTTTCTCAACCTAGGCAGTACTGACACTTGAGGCTGGAAGAATTTTTGTTGTGGGGGGCTGTCCCGTGTATTGCAGGATATTTAGCAGCATCCTTGGCCTGTATGCACTAGATGCTAGTAGCCCCCCTGCATCCAAGTTGTGACAACCAAAAATATCTCCAGATATTGCCAAATGTCCTCCAGTAGGCAAAAATTGCCCCTAGTTGAGAACCACTGCTTTAGGAGGATGGAGATGAAAAAGCATATTTCTTCCTTTATTGAAGTAATCCAACTCTGATTTTAAGTCTCTATTCTGATCTAAACTTTGATAAAAATTAATGTTGTAGATTTGGCTTTACACTAAAACTAGCAAAACTGATTGTCAAGAAATCTCTTCTTACACTCACTTCCTATAAATAACATATTTACACTTTCATAAGAGAAAAAAATGAGTCTGGTGTTAACACTGAATGAATACAGGGAGATGAGGGCTCCACCTGGAGCATGCTGGTTAAGGTGGTTTGCAAGGAGCAGCAGCCCTGGGCACTTTCCAGCCCCTCGTGTACCACTCTCATTTCTGAGGTCACACTAATGCATTTCTCCCATGACCAGATCCACAGCTACATATTTACAGCATACAGACTTTAAGGATGTTGGGTGCATAGCAGGTGCTCAAATATTAATATTTAGTAAGTGAATAAAGGACATCAGAAACTGGTTAGTGGAGGCCAATACGTAAAAAAATGGAGACTAAAACACCTTACACCTCTTAAGTTTTCAAGTATTTGCAATGTTAATTCTAATCACATTGTTTTCTTTCTTAAGTCTCCAGTGGACTTAGTTCTCTTAGAACATATTAATATTATAGAATATGTATCTTAGAATATCCATTATTTCATCATGGGTCATTCCTCCACTGATATCCCATGTTTCAGCCAAACCACACTATGTATCAATGGCCAGTTGGAGGGGGACACAAAGTGGCATGTTCAGGTTGAAAAAGGAAATTCAACAGTATAACTTTACAAGAAAAGAAAAACTTTTCAAATACAAGCCACTAAAAGAAAGGCTATATTCAAATCTTCTTGGTTGCAAGGATGCAACAGATTTTTTTTTTTATTATTGCAGATATTTTTAAGGGATAGGAGTATGTGAGTTTTTTTGACATTTATGAAAATAAATGATTGGTTAAAAAGGTTTGTGACATGCCCTAATGCTTCTTGCTATTTCATACATCACTGCCTTGTTACTTTTACTCCCTTCTGCTTTCCCCACTCTGTACTCCCCAATGCATTTCAGACACATTTGGGCTTTAGACTAAGTTTAAGCATCACCTCTTCTGCTAGGAAGACTTCCATGATTACACCTTGCTTGCCCCCTTCCCTGGCCCCCAGCTCCCATCATAGTACCCTTTGTTTCTTTCATAACACTAACCACACTGGATTATAATTGTTTGCTTTACTCTGTCTCCTTGAAAACAGGTACTCAGATATCTGTTGCATGGATGAATGCAGGTAAATTAGAAATACTGAAAATCTGGTATATATAAAGAAATCTTATTTACTTGTTCTATTTTAGATTACTATTAAAAGAATAGTTAAACCTAGCTATTTGAGCAACTAGTATATCTTCAAATAAACAATGACTTTCTATATTTAGCAATTTCATATTAAAACCATCTAAAAATTGCCCAGTATGAAATAATTGGAGGTTTGCCAAAGATGTAGGTATTTGTTATAAGCATATTCAATGATTATTGACAACCTAGGATTATGCTGTAAACATACAATGGAATACTTTGCTGCCATTAGAAGTTACCTTTTATAAGAAAGAATATATTCAAAAATATTACTAAATACATGCATAGAAGAAATGAAGCATTCAAAATGCTTATCAGTCTTCTGGTTAACCAAATTTAATGTTTTCTTACAGTTTTCAATATTAAACCAAACTTGCTATCTGAAAGTGTTCTACAAAATAGCAATACAGATTACCTCAAGTGGTGATGGTAGAAGTAATTTTTTCTTTTTCAGCTTCTCGTTATTTTCCAAATGTTCTACAATAAAGATAGACAACTTTTTTAACTGATATATTTTAATAGCTGAATTCTAGACCTTCTTTTACAAAGCTGCAAAACTATACTAATTGCAATAAAATGAACTAAAATAATACAGGAAACAAAGATATAAAAGATTAAGTGTTAAAAAACCTTATTTATTATTTATACTAATTCTCATTTCTATTTACTGTAAATGTTATTCTAAACCCACAGTTACAAGCTACACTTGAATTTACAAATAGACCTGGGCAGATGGTAAGATCCCAGTCTTTTACTGTAAAACACAACTTGATGGTGAAAAGTCATTTTGACTTAAGTTTGTAAGAATAATTAAGGTGCTAACACAGTAGTAATATTCTTTGGGGGTAGGGGGATTGGGGCTGGGTAAACTCACAACTAATGGACGCAGTGAGCGTTGTACAGGGGGAAGGGCACATCTCAAATCATGGCTGGGATGTGGCAAAGTCATAACATGTAACCAAAATGTTTGTACCCCCATAATTTCCTGAAATAAAAAAAAAAAGTTTGTAAGAATAAAATATGAAGGAACACAGCAAATTAACTCCAAATTTGAAGACTCAGGTTCGAACCAAATATAGATTTTGAAACCCAGAAGAAACAAACATGTTTTATAATCTGGAATTACATGTTTTTAATTAGTTCTGAGCAGTACAGTAAATGAATGACATTGATAACTAGCTTAGGAGAGAAAAGCAGGAGGAAAACATTTAAGCAGTAGTTTTCTGTGGCCATTTTTTAATAGCTGACATCTAAGTATGTTTCTAGAATGAACAAATTAAGGGTATATTGCAAATAGTGATTTAAATAATAACTTTCTTAAAGTCTTATCAAATGAAATTATAGAATTTTAAACAGGATTTTCTTTCATGTTTACATATATAAGCTTTCATTTAGACACATTCTACATTCCTGTTTTGTAGTTAATTCATTTCTTGAGTGCCTGTTGTTGCCAGGTGTTTGATCTAAGTTTTTAGTTAGAGTTATTATTCAGCTTAAGTCACTCTACTTAGTTGTAAACAGTAGTTAAGGCAGTACCGTAGCCAGAGGTCAAAATTAAATCAATATTTTGATTCAAAATGATTACAAATATACCCAAAGGTCATGGTATATAAAATACTACTGAGTTCAATGTTTAAAATGACTTTTCTTCTTAAAGATAAGCTGTAATGTATACCTGCATATATAGTTGTATACGATTGGTTTTGGCTATTACTCCTGATAAATCTTTTCTCCTCAGATATACCTATAAAGTTCATGAGAACACCATTGATACAAGACTGTCTAAAGTTAAATACAAACACACACACACACACACACACACACACACCTTGGTTATAAGTGACTCTTACACAGTGAGACAGAAAAAATGATATACATTTTTTCAAGTAATGTTATGTACAGTTTTATTGCCAGTATATGCACAACAGTAAGCATAGAACTATAAATACACAATGTAATTAACAGTAGAAAACAAAATTGTTACAGGTAAGAGGGAGAGGATTTAGAGAAACTATATTTTCCTGCTGCTAGAACAGAAACAAAGGGGAAAGCCTATGACAAATCATCCATTCAGTACTCTTGTCTTAAATTCTTTACATACATTTCTACATTTTTTCAATTAAACAAAGAAAGTACAGATAACTCTGTAACAATAGCAAACTGCTTCCCTAATAGCTATTTGCCTTTCCAATCAAATTCACGTTATGTTAGGATTTAAAAAAAAAAAAAAATAGTCAAGACGAGAAATCATTAGTATCCTGGTTCCAAATTATCTAATTTGGCCTTTCACCAAAACTGGTAATTTCTGAAAGTTGGCTGCACATGAAAAGAACAGGTGTAGCAAAAGGTGATTAAAAAAACTTGTTAAAAGCTAACACAAAATCACCCTTTAAGTAGTTTCCCAAAAGACACTATAGGCAGCAGCTCAGTTAAAAGTATTAGCCCTGAAGAGGTAGAGAATTTGAGCCCATTATACAAAGATAGCCTTGGCACCATCTTCTCTCTCATCAGGATCAATGTTTTCAAGTAAGACAATTTCATGGTAAAAGGAAACCAGGTTCCACCATTTAAAGAAAAGGTGCTGGTCGACTTCCATGTCTCAATAATTAGTTTGTTTATTAAGTGAGAAACAGAAGACAGTCAAGGACACACATGCACTTGATTTTTTTTTGTCTGTTTCCATTATCAAGTTTATTCATAAGTGAATTTGATATTAATAAATACAAAAAAAGCATCATCACAACAAAGATAAACAAACCAAAAAACCCTGCAATAAAACCTTCTATTTCAATAAGTATCAAGAAAAAAACAGGCAGATGATTTGGTGCAGCTTTCTCAAGGGATCATAGAAGGGACACGGTTTTAAATAAAGATGGCAAGATCAACAACCAACAAACAATATCAGGTTTACAGAACTGGCCGATTCTGTAACATACGTCTTTGAGGTCTTAAGATCGCCCCAAAGAAGTTGCAACTATGACATGTATCACCACCATACCAACAGAGTCCAGCTGAAGTTCAAATTAGTCCTGCTTTGTTTCACATCATTTCAGTATTTCTAGCATAGGACATGATACGGAACAAAACTCAAAATAGCAATAAAAATATTATTCTGCAGTTGAATAAAGGCAAAAAAAAGTTTTAGACTGTTAAACTTTTAAAGCTTTAAGCATTCCTGTTTAACCAGCATTTTAAAAAATTTATACAATCATAACACTGGCAAAGGTTAATGGGAAGACAAAGAAGTACAAACATGTGAAATGATGAATTAGATTAAAAATTACTTTGTATTGATCAATTGATGTTAATACTGCTTCTTCTTGAATTTGGAATAACTACCATAAAAGTTACATGCAGACTGAGGGTAACTCTCTGTTACAGAAAATACAAAATGAAACAAAACAAAAAACTAAAACTAGGAAACAATGGTTAAGTTCCAAAAGATGTATTTGAGAATTTCCTATCATTGATGAGGGTGGTCTGTCTGTCCTTTCTTTGAGAGACCTGGTTCACTTTGATGAGCTTCGCTAACTTTGTCCAGAAACATCAGTAGTGGGATCAGCTCCTCCAGAACCTGTTTGTGCACGTTTGATGTAAAGATTCAGTAGCTTCATCTGCAGATTCAAACCAAACATACGTCATTTGAGCAAGCTGCTCTAAATTATGATAAGATGCTCATTAAAAAAAATTGTATATATGTGTGAGCTTTGAAAGATAGATTTTAGGCTGGGGGTTATTATAATGCCCAAGTTATTGTTGATAATTAAGAATTACAAAAAAGTTTTCTTTTAAGTCTTAGAGTTTTTTCATGACTGAGTATCCTGATTTTTCAAAAATGTTGTAGTGATAAAATATAAAATACTAAAGTAAACTCAGAAAAAGAAGTCACCATTAAAACAATATGACAAACATCTGAGCACTGTGTTACATAATGTGCTTTACATTATCTCTTTATTTCCCCATTTTACAGTTGAGGAAATCAAGATACAGAATGGTTAGGTTACTGCCTCAGGTCACAGGGGTGGGTAAGAAGTGGGCCCAGGCAACTGGGTTCCAGGACCCAAGATCTCAGACCACCATGCTACTGCCAATCTAATAAGAATGGTTTTGATTTCTGTCAGTTTGCATTCTTTACCAGCATGAGATTATGTTTTTATGAAGTTTGTAACCAATGCATGTACAATTCTGTGTTCTACTTTTTTCATCTAATGTTATTTAAAAATATTTTTTCCACCTACCTATTGTCTTCCTATATAACAGTATTACTGGGGGCCTAATATTCTGATAAAGCGCTGACTTTTAATTGTTTCTGAAGGTTTGCTTTTTTAACATTAACCCCTTGATACAAGAGTTTGTTTTTTTTTTTTTTTTTTGAGACAGAGTCTCACTGTATTGCCCGGGCTAGAGTGCCGTGGCATCCCAGCTCACAGCAACCTCAAACTCCTGGGCTTAAGCGATCCTCCTGCCCCAGCCTCCCAAGTAGCTGGGACTACAGGCATGTGCCACCATGCCCGGCTAATTTTTTTCTATATATTTTTAGTTGTCCAATGAATTTCTTTCTATTTTTAGTAGAGACGGGGTCTCGCTCTTGCTCAGGCTGGTTTCGAACTCCTGAGATCAAGCAATCCGCCCGCCTCGGCCTCCCAGAGGGCTAGGATTACAGGCGTGAGCTACCGCGCCCAGCCGATACAAGAGTTTTTAACCTGGTGTTCGTGGGATTCAGGGGATCCCTGAACCCTGAATCCTACATCTAAAATTTTTCATATGTATTTAATTTTCTTTTTTTTTATTTTTATTAATTTCTTTTTTACGAATTTGCGTGCCATCCTTGCGCAGGGGCCATGCTAATCTTGTCTGTATCGTTCCAATTTTAGTATATGTACTACCGAAGCAAGCACTGTATTTAAGTTTCTTGAGATGAGATTTTACCTAAATCTCAAAGTAGTCTGTAACCAAGAAAGGGTTAAGAATCATTGCTTTAATCTATAACTTGTATAGATACTTTAATGTAAGATGTGTACCTGAGCTCATTTTTCTTTGTGTGTATTTTTATTCTGCCTTTTTGCTATTAGAAAGATAAACTTGACCATAGTAATGACAATTATTAGAATTTTGGGAAATTCTTTGAAGGAAGGTGAATGCTCCTTGCTAACTGGTTCATAAGCCATAATTCGACAATCATAGTTTATCCTCACCCTCTAGAACAAATTTCAAAGTTCTGGTGGTACCAATGAAATGAGGAAAGCAAGACTTAGTTATTTTTTTAAGTGTTAAGGACTAATCAGAAATTTTTATTTTAATATACCAAGTAAAAGTCACCATTAATTTGGATCATAATAATAGAAAAAGGAACAAATATTTGATTACCATAGTTCTTAAGGGGAAAATTTTTAAAATGTTCAAGTGTTCCGTATTTTGGGAGATATAAAGTAATCCGTGAACATACAATCACAACAATCTATTTATTCTGAAGTAAACAGTCCTTGGGGGTAACAATTTGGGTGTGGGAGTGGGAAAGGAGTTAGCTGGCTTTCATAAATAACCAGAAGCTGTAGGCATTTTCTCTCACAGAAATCTACCAACCACCCTACCAAACTGCTGACTTCACCTGAGTGACAAATGTTAGAGCAGAAACAGATAAAATGCAAAACAGGAGGATTAAGGGGAAGTTGTATACTCAAAGCCTGACTTATTAAAAGCAGAATAACAAATTTACCCTTTAACCCACACATAGAACTAAACTTTGAAGAATGTACTTAGCCACCATCTTTAAAACAAAGCAGCATTACTTACTTTACTGCCAGTGAGTTGACTGAGATGTGGTTTTAGTTCATCACCAATTACTGCATGAACAGCCACCAGGCAGAAGACACAAGCTTTCCGAACACTGCTTTCTGAATTATCATAACCCTAGGGAGAAAAGTCTATCGTTAGTACTCCTGGGTGATCTGAGAAAATTACCTTTTCAACACAGACAGAAGATGTAACTCAAAGATGAGATCTCAAGCAAACACAGGAGAGAAAACTCTGCTGACCCAAGTTGACTTTTCAACCTTTTCAGGCATAGACATGCCCTTCTTCCCTTTCACTCCTCCTACTGCACCCTCAGCCTAACATTAGTCCTCTTTATCAGGTTCTTTCTTACGTAGCCTGGAAAGCAGCGCCTCTCTGACTCAGAGGCTGCCCTCTTGCCAATTCAGCCTGTAAAAAGTCTCCAGACTACCTTTCCTAGAGCATTTAGCTTTAAGGCAGTCAACAGCTCCTCATATCTAGTAAAACTTAAACTATTTGGTTTGGCAGTCAAGGTACTCCTACGGTCCAGGTCTGATTAGGCACTGTGTCTGTTCCGTCCCTGCTCTTTTCTCAAATAAATCCAGTCTATGCAAACTATATCCCTTATGCTTTTTTGGTGGGGGGGCATTAATGACCTCACTTTATTCTTAAAAATTTTTTGAAGTTTTTTTTAATTGACAAATAGTAACTGTATATATTTATGGGGTACAATGTGATATTTTGATACATGTACATTACGGAATAAACAAATCAGGCTAATTAACATATCCATCACTTCAGCTACTTACTATTTCTTTGTGGTGAGAACATCTAAAATCCATTCTTTTAGCTATTTTGAAATACACATTATTATTAACTATAACTATATACTATTAACTATACACTATTATTAACCATGCTGTGCAATATATATCACTAGAACAAACCTATTCCTCCTTTCTAACAGAAACTTTGTACCCTTTGACCGACATCTCCCCTTTCCCTGTCCATCTCCCGCTTATGCTTTTGATCACACTATTTACTCTATTGCAATGGTCCACAGAAATCTTATCCATAAAGTATTTTTGAATCAATTTTCTGAATGTATATGTACATTTTACCCTGGGAAAAACAGAGTTCATCTCCACTAAAATCCTGATCATTTAATCTTTCTAAAACAACTGCAAAAATATTAAAATATCAATAGATATCCAGCTAAAATACATTCTTCATAATAAAAGTAATAAAATCAAACTATGTTAATTTTATTTTATCTCATCATTTTTATACAGTTGTAATTATGATGTAGTTCTATAGTATTTCTATATGGTCTTCACAATATGAGGCATCCATTTTGTATGTTTCCTAATTTAGCCATTCTATGCTGTCGTAAGTTTAAGTCCTCCTCCCCTGCAACCTTCCTCCTGCTAAATTTTTCCTATTACAAAGAATACTGCTTTCAGTATTCAAATATTTAAGTGCCTGTTATGTGACAAGTACAGGCCAGCTAAATAATGTTCAGTGTCCAACAAGATACACACTATCTCGTCTCAGAACAGTTACAGAATCACATGGCAGGAGGAGATATTGTGGGCAGAGTGGGATTAGGAATGTGATAGTCAGAAAATACTTTGCAGAGACAGTGTTTTAAATTGAGATCTGAAGGATGACAAGAATAAATTAAAACAAAGGGGGATGAGGTCGAGTATACCAGACAGAGAAAAGTACATATGCAATGACCCCATAGTGAGAGAGAGCTCAGTGCTGTCTATGAATTAAATAAATTCATTATAATTGGAACACATGGGGTAGGAGGGAAGGGTAGGCAGTGGCCAGCTGGGAGAGCTGCAGCAAGACATATGGACTTGTTCTGTCAATGGAAAACCCTGAAGGGCTTTAAGCAGGGAGTGACATCAGAGTTATCAGGTTGCATTCAGGAGGCTGACTTCGGAGAAATGTCTACTCAGCCTCTATTAGTTTCCTGTGGCTGTTGTAACAATTACCACAAACCTCAAGCTGGTATTCCTTGTTTTAAGGTCAAATCACTTCAATTTTTGTCCCCATCTTCACATCACCTTCTCCATTGTGTATGTGTGTGTATAACCTCCTTCTACCTCTCATATGGACTCTTAACATAGCATTTAGGGATCGCCAGGACAACCCAGAATTATTATATCTCATCTCAAGATCCTTAACTTTATCATATCTGCAAAGATCCGGTATCTAAATAAGGTAACATTTACAGGTTCCAGAGATTAAGACCTGATATCTTTGGGGTCACCATTCAATCCACTACAAGATGCTCTGCCCATTTTTAAATTGGTCATTTTCCTTTCTATTATTACCATTGTTATTTTTGGAGACAGAGTCTCGCTCTGTAGCACTGGTTAGAGTACAGCGGTGTCATCACAGCTCACTGCAACCTCAAACTCCTGGGCTCAAGCGATCGTCCTGCCTCAGCCTCCTGAGTAGCTGGGACTACAGGTGCACCCACAATACTTGGCTAATTTTTCTATTTTTTTGTAGAGACTTGGTCTCACTCTTGCTCAGACCTGGTCTGGTCTCGAACTCTTGAGCTCAAGCGATCCTCCCACCTCGCCTCCCAGAGAGGGGGATTACAGGCACAAGCCACCGTGGGCAGCGCTCCTTTCTATTATTCAGTTGCATGAGTTCTTTATATATTGTAGATACAAGTCCCTTCTCAGATTTATGATTTACAAAAATTTTGTCCCATTGTGTAGGTTGCCTTCATTGTCTTTTCACTTTCTTGATGGTGTCCTTTAAAGCACAAAAGTTTTTAATTTTGATGATGTTCAATTTTGTCTATGTTTTTTGTTATAATTGCTTTTGGTGTATTATCTAAGAAATCATCGCCCAATTCAAGGTGACAAGGATGTATGCCTATGTTTTCTTCTAAGCATTTTAGAGTTTTTACATTTTGGTCTTTGACCCATTTTCAGTTAATATTTTTTATTGAGGTGAAATTCACATAACATAAAATTAACCATTTTAAAATATACAATTCAATGGCATTTAGTATGTTCACACTGTTGTACAATCACCATATCTATCAAGTTCCAAAACACTTTCATTACTTGAAAAATATGCCTGTACCCATTAAGCAGTCACTACTCCCACCCCCAATATCTATAAATTTACCTATCCTGGATATTTCATATAAATGGAAGCATATACTATGTGACTTTTTTGGTCCGGCTTCTTTCATTTGGCATTTTTTTTTTTTAAAGACACAGTCTCTGTTGCCCAGGCTACGGTGCAGTGGTGCCATCATAGTTCATTGTGCCTTCAACTCCTAAGCTTAAGCAATCCTCCTGTCTTAGCCTCCTGAGTAGCTAGGACTACAGGTGTATGCCACCACACCTAGCTAATTTTTCTATTTTTTGTAGAGATAGGGCTTTGTTATGTTGCTCAGGCTGGTCTTGAACTCCTGGCCTCAAGAGATCCTCCTGCCTTGGCCTCCCAAAGTGCTAGGATTATAGGTGTGAGCCACTGTGCCTGGCCTTGGCATGTTTTGAGGTTCATACGTGTTGTAGCATATATCAGTGCTTCACTCCTATTTATGGCTGGATAATATTAATATTTCATTGTATGATATGCCATTCTATTTATCCATTTATCAGTCAAAATGAACATTTGAATTCTTTTCACCTTTTGGCTATTATGAATAGTGCTGCTATGAACATTCAAGTATAACTACTTATTTAAGTATCTGCTTTGACTTCTCTTCGGTATATGCCAGGGAGTGGAACTGCTGGGTTATACGATAATTTTATAACTTTTTGAGGAACGCCAAACTGTTTTCCACAAGAACTATGCCACTTTACATTTCTACCAGCAATGTATGAAGGTTCCAATTTCTGTACATCCCCATCAACATTTGTTATTTTCATTCTTTTGATTATAGCCATCCCACTGGGTGTGAAGTGGTATCTCACTGTAGTTTTTTTTTTTTTTTTTTTGAGACAGAGTCTCACTATGTTGCCCGGGCTAGAGTGCCGTGGTGTCATCCTAGCTCAAACTCCTAGGCTCAAGGGATCCTCCTGCCTCAGCCTCCCGAGTAGCTGGGACTACAGGCATGCGCCACCATGCCCGGCTAGTTTTTTCTATATATTTTTAGTTGTCCAATTAATTTCTTTCTATTTTTAGTAGAGACGGGGTCTCGCTCTTGGTCAGGCTGGTTTTGGACTCCTGAGCTCAAACAATCCGCCCGCCTCGGCCTCCCAAAGAGCTAGGATTACAGGCGTGAGCCACCGAGCCCGGGCCTCATTGTAGTTTTGACACACATTTCCCTAATGACTAATGATACCAACCATGTTTTCATGTGCTTCTTGGCCATTTGTATATCTTCTCTGAAGAAGTGTCTATTTAAGTTCTTTGCTCATTTAAAAATAATTTGTCTTTTTGTTGTTGAGTTATAAGAGTTTTTTTTTTTTTTGAGACAGAGTCTTGCTCTGTTGCCCAGGCTAGAGTGCTGTGGTGTCAGCCTAGCTCACAGCAACCTCAGAGTCCTGGGCTCAAGCGATCCTCCTGCCTCAGCCTCCCAAGTAGCTGGGACTACAGGCATGCGCCACCATGCCCGGCTAATTTATATATATATATATATATTTTAGTTGTCCAGATCATTTCTTTCTATTTTTTAGTAGAGACGGGGTCTCGTTCTTGCTCAGGCTGGTCTCAAACTCCTGACCTTGAGCGATCCACCCGCCTCGGCCTCCCAGAGTGCTAGGAATCCAGGCATGAGCCACCGCGCCTGGCCAAGAGTTCTTTATATACATATGTTCTGGATAGTAGACCCTTATTAGATATATAATTTGAAAAAATTTTCTCCCATTATGTAGGTTGTCTTTTTACTTTCTTGATAATGTTGTGTGATGAACAAAAGTTATTAATTTTGATGAAGTCCAATTGATCTATGTTTCATTTTTTGTTGATGTTTTGGGTGTCATATCTAACAATCACTGCCAAATCTAAGGTCATAAAGATTTATCCCTATGTTTTCTTCTAAGATACATTTCCTATATTTAGATCATTGATTGACTTGAGTTCATTTTTGTTTATGGTGTGTGGTCATTGAAGTTTGTTATCTCGGTGGTCAGCTAGTGACCTGACAGAGATTT